CAGTTTCTGTAATGTCAGCTGATGATAGTGTTTTTATTGTCAGTGTGTTCTGATTGACTAAATGTTTATGTTGGAAGAGAACATGTGTTTGTGTTTTGAACAATAATTTCATTTTGAAACATGATTGCAGTGTTTTGTTAGACATGGTGTAGTGTGTTCGTGTATTATTGTCTTTTGAGAAGTAGTTTAGAGGTTTAGTTTATAATGTGTGATTTTGAGCATAAAATTAACTGTTTTGCCAATTGTGTGTTTTAGGTGTGTTGCTGCGTTAAGAGTTTAGCAAACTTGTTAAATGTATTGAAAAAAGTGTCATAGTCATTGTAAAAAACTGTAACCCAACGAAACAAAACTGTAACAAGACTTCAAATATAAGGGCAGAGCTGACACATAAACTAATGGAGTTTCTGTAATGTCAGCTGATGATAGTGTTTTTATTGTCAGTGTGTTTTGATTGACTGAATGTTTCTGTTGGAAGAGAACATGTGTTAGTGTTTTGAACAATAATTTCATTTTGAAACATGATTGCAGTGTTTTGTTAGACATGGTGTAGTGTGTTCGTTTATTATTGTATTTTGAAAAGTAGTTTAGAGGTTTAGTTTATAATGTTTGATTTTGAGCATAAAATTAACTGTTTTGCCAATTGTGTGTTTTAGGTGTGTTGCTGCGTTAAGAGTTTAGCAAACTTGTTAAATGTATTGAAAAAAAGTGTCATAGCCATTGTAAAAAACTGTAAGCTAAGCAACTGGTAAGTTAGATTTTGGTACTACAACCGTACTTGTCTTAAAGGGCATTTCATAAGCTGCAGCACACACTTAAACATACCTCTGGACATGCAAATGTGTTCCTCCACATCTCTTCATCGAGTTGGTCACAATATTTTTGCACATATCCACAGAATTACCCATGTTCAGAGAAGATAAGTATATATATATATATATATATATATATATATATATATATATATATATATATATATATATATATATATATATATATCCACCACTCATTCACATCTACAGTTGCACAGCAGAAACTGTTGTCAGTTCATTTAAAAATGTCACTTTAGAGCAGGGGTTCCCAAACTATTCCGTATGAAGAGCTAAAATCTAAATAGCATTGAGAGCCATGGGACAAAAATTAATATACCAAACTTTATTACATTAAAGTTGGCATGCGTAATTTTCTAATTAATTTCATAATATTTATGAATAATAGAAAACATTACTTTGAATCATATAAACTAATGCAGTATAACTTTAATTATAATGTATTGCAATTAAAATAATCACATTCATAACAGTGTAGTTCAATCTGTATATACAGTGGTCAAGCAGAATCTGCCTTTCCCTTGATTCACTCACTACGGTTATTGCATTGCCCCCTACTCATTGGGTGACAGTATGTACATTTGAAACTGATTCATTTAAACCATTTAAATAGAAACATTTAATTTCAGTCAGATAAATCAAAGGTTACCAAGGGCCAATTTTGGTCCACGGGCCCTAGTTTTGGCACCTCTGCTTCAGAGCTAGTATTTGAATGATTCTCGAGCGTAATGCCTTAAGTAATGACAAAACAGGTAATTTTTGCTCACATTTTAAGATCATAAGGCTTATCAGTCTACAGAGATTTTTCCAGTATTCTATTGCAATCTGGATTTCACAATAATTAACCCCTAAAAGGCCAGTGCAAAGCAAATACTAGCAGTTTCTGTGGTTTAAATACAGCAAAAATTACAAAAGAGAAAGATCGATTTAGAATGTTACTTACCAAATTTTTAATGATTTGTTCAGCTGTAGTTTGAAACTTGCGCTGAGAAAATGTTGTTTTCCTCCCTTAGGACTATGTGGTATTATGGGGTCTTTGTCGTCATCTTGTGGTGGAACATCAACCGTCACTTTCTTTGGCCTGCTCAGACAGGCTGATGGTGGCCGGTGCACTTAATCTGATACTCTAAAAGGATAAATATTTGAAAATAGACACTATCATTATTAATAATCTGCATATTGCGATCTAAAAAACTACATTCTTGACTAAAAAAGCCTCAAAATTATATTATGTTACAGGCTTGTAGCCAGCCTAATGAAAGGGGTGGTTTGTTTTTTCTTTAAAAGTGGACTTTTTTGCAGTTATTCACCTAATTTTCTATTTATTTATATGCATTTCTATTATTTCTATGCATTTTAGTGACTTTTTAAGCACTATTTATGTCTGCATAGCTTGTCAGATGGTCATCTAAATCACACTTATGTACCAAAAACATTATTAAAGATATTTAAAATAAAGCAATATGAAGGAAAAAAAAAAAAAAAAAAAAACGCTTATTTACACTTTACAATATTTAGCACATCATAGGCCTATTATAGGCAACCAACTGGTCATTACATTTAACTTTCCTCAGTCAGTTTTTTTTACACAATAATAATAAATTTTATTTAAAAATGAAACACAATAATAATAATGTAGGAGCTTCCCAATTTTTTTCTAGCCTCTCTTGAAAAAAGGTAAATTAATGGACTTCAACTATAGTCACATTTAGTTTTAAAATTAACAATAATATATTTCAAAATTAACGTTTAGTGCTTCATCAGGTTTAACTTTATTGGTCATTTGTTTCTTTCAAGAATAAGGTCCAAGATTTAGAATAAAAAATTACTTGTAAAATGCATTTTTTTTTTTTTTTTGACAACAATTCAGTCGCTCAGTAAAAGATGACTTCACTTTCAGATTTCTGTCTTAAAGCTTTCTTCGATGGGTTATTTTAACAATTTATAATGGCATAGCAGTCAAAATAGTACAAATAAGCTCATTCATGAGAGAAATTCTGAACGTTTTTCAGTGGAGGGGTGGGTCCTCTGAATATATATACAGTTAAAGTCAGAATTATTACCACCGTTTGATTTTCTTTTTTTTTCTTTTTTAAATATTCCCCAAATTACTGTCATCATGGCAAAGATAAAATAAATCAGTTATTAGAAAATGAGTTATTATAACTATTATGTTCAGAAATGTGTTGAAAAAATCTGCTCTTCGTTAAACAGAAATTCCCTTCTCTACTTTTACCCATTATAGAAGTCTTGATTGAAAAATACTCCTAAGTAATACTACAGTTTTCTGCAGTGATGCATAGGGCATTGAAATAACTATTTCTTGTGATTGGAACCTAGGTGCTCACTTTGGTTTTGGCATACAATAACACATCACCGCAGCAGCACTTTATTATTAGTGCTTTGTTGGCATGAAAATGATGTCAAACTATATAAATCTTACAACAAACTTAATGTACTTATGCAAAAAAACTGTGGCTTTTTATACAATGGAAATAATAGAAAAGTTTTTATATTGTCATTTTGAAATTAAATCCCCTAACACCTTGAAAGTTTTTGACACAATGTATTATGAATGAATTATTTACATAATATAAAAAGCCACAGTTTATTTTAAATTATGCAACAAAACAAGTCAAGTACAACTTTACATCACCACAGACTGAGATTTTCATATTAATCATACACTGACAGACAATCAGAATGCCAAACAAAAGATTAATCAGTACTGAAAATTTGAGGTAGAAATACAGTAATCATACAGTACAACCATAATGTAGGGGTTTAAACAAATATTTGACTCTTTTTTAAGTCTAAAAGTAAAATTTTGATATGCAAGTTAAGCTAACACATTCAATCCAGAAAAGATAACTTATTAACTAATTGGCACAATCAGTGTTTACAGTGCTTAATTTTCAAAGACTTCTTTATACAAACCTACACCTCATTTTTAAAGATTTTAATTGGGGTGCTGTTCTCAACACTTTACATTTCTTCATTTCGTGAGTATGTTCATTCTGTTGCCTGTAATTTGTTTATTATACCTAATGCTATAGGGCTACATGATATTGGAAAAATCTAATGTTGCAATATTTAATTTTTCTGCGATAAATATTGCGATATGAATACAGTTTCACAATATAGTTTGAATAGCACTATTAGATTTATTCTTATTTAGACAGTCTAACAGTATTTAGGTACAGATATGTAGCTATCAGAATGCAAAAAAAAGGGCTTTTCCTACTTTGCATTGACTCATTTCTAGTCAAAACATCTCAAATTAATGCATAAACTATTGTTTTGTTTTCCCTTTTAGAAGAAAGTCAAAATTAAGAGTTTTCCTTCGATATATAACTTATCTCAACAAAGTTAATCCAGATAAGTTAACTTAACTCAAAAGATTCGTTTGTAATAATTAATTGCACAATCATCTTTTTACAGTGCATAATTTATGACTTCTTTATACAAGGCTATACCTCATTTTTAAAGATATTGTGCTGTTCTCAACACTTTACATTTGTGAGTATGTATTTTAGAATGAGATGTTTAAAAATTACACTTTGTCTACATTTGTCTCCCAAATGCATTCTAAATGTCAGAAATTGGTCTCTACAAATTATTGTCTACATCAGCATTAGGACTTTTCAAACATAATGCATATCAAAGCGTAAGATCAGAAAATAATTCCTTATCAAGCTAAATTTCATACATAGTTTTAAGATGTACTTCTTTGCATTTTGATGGGAAAGAAAATAACAAATATTTGCATTTTACTTTTATTATTATTATTATTATTATTATTATTATTATTATTATTATTATTAATAATAATAATAATAATAATAATAATAATAATAATAATAATGATAATAATAATAATAATAATAATAATACACCTTCCTCATCACTCACTATATAATTTTTCCTAATGCTTTCTTCTCCAGATGAAATCAAAGCTAATTACCTGCATTTATTTATTTTCTGTTTTTTTGATCCGTATTATTACATTGTCACTATTTAACATTTCAAGTATCTCTTGATCTTTTGAATTTACTAAACATTTTACCTAAAAAGCCACAGTTGGTTCCGGATTTCCTCGATTTCCTAATGGACTTTATTCTTTCTTTCTCGTCTCCGCCCATTATGAAAACACGGCGTCGACCAATCAGCGTGGAGACCGGTCACACGAGATTGTCCCTGCGGGTGTGCAGAAAAAGAGTACACAGTAGTACAGAATACAGATGTGGTAGCAGAGAGTTTGCCGATTCACCATTCGACTGCAAAGTGTCAAAGTAAGTGTTAAATCATGGTTCTTAGATGGCAATAAGTGTTACGTTTTGTTTAAGCTCATATCAATGCGTGTTAAAGGGGATCATGAGATCAGGACGTTTTGCTATACGTGTTTATAGCCCTTTTGCTATTATTTGCTAAAGTTATCGTAACTGTACAGTTTTTGATGTTGTAGTTGTTGGGAGTTTAGGAAAACTTTAACTTTACGGCTGTAAACAACATATTTGCGCATGCTCACAGTTCAAGTTGCATGCACAGTGCAGAAATCTGGTGTGTTGACAATATACAGGTTATTCCTGTCTGTCATCCAGTTGCGTTTGTTTTTACAGTAAAGGAGTTATGAGTTATAATTTATTGTGTTGTTTTTAGTGTAAATACATGAATATGACTTGCCTAAAACTACATATTGAGAAGAAAGTTGTGCATGACTAGTGTACAATCTTCAATCCTCATCAATTCAGGAGACAGGTAAAGTGAAAAAGCTAAACATTTTTGGTGTTGTTTTAAAATTAGTTAGTTTAATAATTTTCCTTCGGCTTAGTCCCTTTATTAATCAGGGGTCGCCACAGCGGAATGAGCCACCAACTTATCCAGCATATGATTTACAAAGCGGATGCCCTTCTAGCTGCAACTCAGCATGTATATATGCATATATTCACTGTATATATATATATATATATATATATATATATATATTATATATATATATATATATATATATATATATATATATATACACACACACACACACACACACACACACACACATATATATATATATATATATATATATATATATATACACACACACACACACACACACACACACACACACACACACATACATACATACATATATATATATATATATATATATATTTATATATATATATATATACACAGTTGAAGTCAGAATTATTAGCCCCCTTAAATTATTAGACCGCTTGTTTATTTTTTCCCCAATTTGTTTTTAACAGAGAGAAGATTTTTACAGCACATTCATTCATTCATTTTCTTGTCCGCTTAGTCCCTTATTAATCCGGGGTCGCCACAGCGGAATGAACCGCCTACTTATCCAGCCGCAACCCATCTCTGGGAAATTTTACAGCACATTTATAAACATAATAAGTTTATTAACTAATTTTTAATTATGAATTTATTTTATCTTTGCCATGATGACAGTAAATAATATTTTACTAGATATTTTTCAAGACACTTTTATACAGCTTAAAGTGACATTTAAAGGCTCAACTAGGTTAATTAGGTTAACTAGGCAGGTTAGGGTAATTAGGCAAGTTATTGTATAACAGTGCTTTGTTTCTGTAGACTATCGAGAAAAAAAATAACTTAAAAAGGCTAATAATTTTGTCCCTAAAATAGTGTTTAAAAAATTAAAAAACTGCTTTTATTCTAGACGAAATGAAACAAATCAGACTATCTCCAGAAGAAAAAATATTATCAAACATACTGTGAAAATTTCCTTGCTCTGTTTAACATAATTTGGGAAATATTTAAAAAAGAAGAAAAAAATTTCAAAGGGGGCTAATAATTCTGACTTCAACTATATATATATATATATATTACATTGACTTTTGTTGGGTCAGGGTTAGAGTTTTTTGCCTACTTTTATTTAAAAATTGTGTTGGGTGGGTAATAATACACCACCTTTTTTTAGGACTACACCACTAACCCCCAAACATAATTTTTTTGTGCACACATTTTTTAAACTGTCTTGAAATGCTGAGTCACAGGCCTTAAAAACACATGCAAATGATAAACACTCTATTATGGTTATACTCCGCAGTGATTCTAAAGTCACATATGTTCTATGGCTCCTGGTCAACTATAATTTTAGACTTAACATTTTATATATTGTAATGTGACTGTTGAGGATGTGCACATTGCCATATCAATGCTGAAAATATACATTGTGCAGCCCTACTTAATGCAGATGCACAAAATCCTCCAAAACTATGTAAAGTTATGAATCATTTTCAAAAAGTGGTGCCATCTCATTAACATACATTCATATCTCAGTATATACTGCATAAAATAAATATCCCAATTGCCAGTTTTTTAAATAATGTGCAGGTTTATCGTTTTGACTTTTTTGTATAACATATTCATGAAATTAATTCAAGTAGAATCTGACCTCCAGTATAGAGGCTTATATGGAAGTCTGTGTCTAAATGTTTTAAGATGCTCTTCTCTTTCTTTAAAGTAGACTATAAATAGTAAACCGGTAGCCAAAGAGATGGTCATGACAACAGAACCATCTTGCCATGCCTGTGAAGATGCTCGGTCTCATATGACACTCATTGTTTCCCTTTGTGGGACCGGCTTCAGTTGCATTTACAGTTGAGGCTTGATTACACTAAGCACTAACGGCCTACGCCTCACCTTTCCCCAGGTGTTTTTCAAGCTTTTCCTGATTGTCAGATTCATTGAACTCAAACAAACTGGACTTGCTGCCAAACCAGTTTTAGTGTCTCCTCACATGCCAGCAGGCCTTTTTTAGTACAGCTTTTATAATGAATATGCTAATAGACGTCCATGCATATTTCCAAAAACATGATTTTAAAACAAAATTTAAAGTAAATGCATGATTTATTTATTTTTATTATATATTTTTTTGCAGTTCATATTGAGAGACATCGATGCCCTAGTTTTTCACTTTAATTGTCTAAAACACGTTATACAGGACATTTTTTAATAGCAACAAATGCACAATTAAAAGTCAAAGCTACTGAAAGCAAAACTGTTTCAAATGTTCAAAACAATGCATATGATGGAGTTTTTGCCTATAAATATTGGCATAATATTGATGTAAAATTCTGGGACTTGAACCAGCAACCTTCTAGGCAACAGTGCTAACCACTGAGCCACCATGTCGCTTTTGTTTAATTGACAATATGCAATAAAAGTTTTCTTTTAATAGAATCAGATGTGCTGGTAACACTTTACAATAAGGTTTAATGCATTTAACAACACTTGTACATCATTTATTAATCATAATTGAACATTTACTAATGCATTTATGAACATCCAAGTCCGTGCTTGTTAACATTAGTTAATGCACCGTAAGTTAACAAACTAACCATGAACAACTGTATTTTCATTAGTTAACGTTTACTAACATTAATAAATACTGTAGTAAATTTAATGTTCATTGTTTGTTCATGTTAGTAAATGAATTAATTAACATTAACTAATTAACCTTATTGTAAAGTGTGACCGATGTGCTCTTATGACACTGTTGACTGTTAATCTAAAATGTTTTGTGTTTGCACTAAAAACTAAGCTCTTTGTATTTTATTGGCCTCTAAATAAAGAATAAGAAATATTTAGCTATTATCTTCTTCAGTATACAGTGTGGACTTTTGTTGTATTTTGTTTTGCTTTGCTAGAAAGAACACCAAATACCTGCATGCTACGTTTCTAGAACACATATTTAACTAGATTGTCTCCAAGATGTCTTTATCTTTTTTTTTTTTTTTAAATGATCTAGAGTAACCAATCAATTACTTCACACCCGTACAGGTTACACAATAACAGATACTGAAACCTGAGACAGAATCAGACACCACTTCACACGCGAGGGGTTTGCACTGGTATAAAGGCAGTTCATTGAGAAGCGTTCACTCATCTATCCTGGTGCAGAATTTGAGATTGCAAACAAAAAGAAATGGGTGAGTAATATTTGATTTTATTTTAAATATTATTTGATCAGTTTTATACCCAATGGCCAGTGGGTAATGTAAAAACGTAATCAAAAACACCTAAAGAAATGCAAAGTGATTTGATTTCAATTTACAACTTTGATGTTTAAATTACGTCAAATTGACATCTAACATTGGCCTGAAAAAACATGTCAAATAATGGATTTCAGGACCGTTAGATGTCAATTTGATGTTGTTTAGACATCAAGCCAGTTTACATATTGTAGGGATATTAAGTCCAGTTTAAATTGGTAATCTGGAATTGAAGCTTTCAGATAATGAATCTTTACTTACACTACAAAAATTATGTTTGCTGTTTCCACAAACTACTTATTTAAAATAAGCTGAAACGACACAATGGCTGAGTTTTTTGGGACAGCTTAATTGTTTTATGCTTAATCCACTAACATTTGTAAAACTCATAAGTTAACTTAATTCCTTTATGTTGCTGCCCAAACACATATAAATTGTGTGGAACCCAGCATTTTACAGTGTGTATTATACTTTTGCCTTGTTATTTTGATGGTCAAAAGGGCTTCAATGTGCGGATGTCAAATAGAGGTCAAGTTTTTTTTTTTTTTTTTACATGAAGTAGATTTGCATTTTTGACATGTTTTTGATGTCATTTTAATATAAAGCTGCTAGATAGATAGTGTTTGATTGTGAAGAATTAATGGTGCTTTTTAATATCAGCCACATACAACTGCACAAGAAATAAAGAACATGACAGTTCTGTCAGTTACTTAATCAAACTTGTATGACTTTTTTAGCAGAATGCAGAAAAAAACGAACCAAAATGTTTTGGTGACTGTTAACTTCATAAACAACTGAACAAATAAATAAATAGCAAAACATTTAACAAATTAACCATGTTTCAAGACATAAAGAATTCATAACAGTTTGGAAAGACATGGGAGGAATTTTAGCAGGCAAAGCATAGGTCAGTCAGTGCAAAACTGTGGGAGCAAATGCTTTTCTTCAGTAATAATCTCAACTACTAGGCAAATCTGATGTAACTGATGTACCAAAATCATGCGCCACATCTTAACCAAGTTTTTAAAATTCCATGCCCATATTTGGAATTAAATACTAGCATGTGGTTTACTGTACATTATGCACTAGGCTAAACTGTACATTGTCCAAGTTTTATTTTAGTTCAGTTTTTGTGTTTCATTTTATTTAATAATTTACGGTATTTAAGTTTTAAAGTGCTTCAGTGATCAGCATATTTAAGTACACCCCTCACAAATCTCTCGATTATGTTAATATTTTCTATAGGAAGTTTTACAATATTATATTTGTGCATACATTAGATTAGTCTGTACTGAAGCCAAATCTGGAGCTTATCTAACAAAATAACTTATGATAACAGTCCAAAACTAGTACACACACATTTATGTTATAAAAAATAATAAATACAAATATTAAAAGAACAAAACCCAAGAGAAGCAAATAATGTATAAAATTTTGTTGAAAAATGTGGTTTTCCCCCAATATTTTGCATGAATTGAAATATTTTATCTTTCTATTTCTAAAGGTATTGTATGACTAAAATATTATTTTAATAAGTATATCCATGTAATAAATCGTTTTGCTCAAATTCCCCAAAATATATTACTTATATTCACTGAGAAATGCATAAAAATATTTATTTTCAAAATGGGCTGTATTCATTTTTGCCAAAGAGCATGGAATCACGAAGAGGCAACACTTTAGTTCGATTTGGGAAACAGCCACTGGATGCTGAGGCAGCTAATTTGGAATGAAAATTTCAACAGAATAACAGCATATTATAAGTCTGTAAAATAAACTATTAAAAGTGCTGATGATTGTGATAGTAAGTGTTGTATTGTAGTCATTCAAGTTGTATCTCAGCTTTAATGTGCTTTTTGAATGAATGAATAAATAAATAAATAAATAAATAAATAAATAAATAAATAAATAAATAAATAAAATTAAAAAAAACAAAGCAGCTGCTTGCCATCGCGACAGCAATAAGATCCAATGGATGGCCGATCACTTTTAATCCAAAATGGCGGAATCCGGGGCTGTTGCTGGGCGCTGCTGTTGCAATGGAACGTTCTACTGAGTGTCGCCTTTTGGTCATTCTAAGCTCTTTGTTTTTGCTGAGCATTGCATGTTTATTTTTTTTGTTTCAAAATAACATCATCATCTCCATGTTGTAACAGTGATGTGACGCTGACAACAGGGGTGTGGATCCAAATGCAGGTTTATTTAGCAGAATGGTCAGGCAAGCAATGATCAACACAGAAGCAAAAAGATGTATAAGGGCAATCCATAGTCATAGTCAAAACAACAGGCAAATGGTCACATGGCAGGCAGCAAACAACTTAAAACAACAAACAAGGCAAGGCGAGGGCAGGGGCACAACTACACATTTACTGAGGGGTATTCGGGTCCAAGTTTTGCACTCACCACCACCAATCCAACTATATTTTAAAACAGTCAAGTGATAGTGCTAAAATTTTCCATCAATATATTAAAGATATTTTTCTTCATCAGCATGATTCAAACAAATACAATCACAGTTCTGAACACAACTGAAATAGTATGAAGTAGTAAAAGCACAATTACACTAAGCATGTTAAGTAACAATGAAATACATCTCATCCCAACAAAAATTTCTTCTCAATTTTATTTTCCTTACTAAATGATTATAGCACATTGTCGTGCCTTGCTTTTGTACTTTTTGTACATTTGTGAAAACAAAATGATAGATATGGGAGTCCTAAAGCGCAAAAGAACATAAAAATGCAATCACTTCTCATATCCGAGGTGTAAGGTCTGTCTTTGCATTAACAATTGTCTGAAACTGCTATTACACCTCTCACAAAGTGAAATAAAAAAGACTTTAAAATGTTTAGTGTGTAAGAATTGAAATATTACAAATATTTTTGATGTCTTTGACAATTCAAAACATGAGCTGAAAACAGAGACTGGTAACTTCACAACCCAGCAAGGGGGAATGCGGGAAAAACCAGTTCCTGCTGCATTTGCATCTGAGTATGCTGAAACTCAGCTTCATACCCCCAACTCACGCATATGGTCATTTCAATGTTTGCTAGATTAACCAAACTGACTTTAACTATCATGTTTGATATCATTTGAAATGTCTCAGTGCGATTGGTACAATGGTCTCATTCTCTCAGAAATAGACATAATCAGAACAATAAATATATAACTTCAGGCATCTTTTGAACCACTGTGAGGGGTGTGACTTTTACACTAAGTGTGAATGCCTTTTTTCACACCCCCTTCCTTGAGGGAATTCTTGGATTATTTAAGGTAAGGGTTGAGAAAAACTCAGGGCGATTCTGCCTACCCAGATCAGCCCATAACATGGAGCTTAGGCTCCACGTTATGTAAAATTTACACATTATGTAAAAAGTCAGGAATGCATCTTTTAATCTTGGATTTATCTTTGATAATTTGATGTTTTGTATTGATCGTTTATGAATTGACTGATTGAATTTGGCATAATACATTTACCTGACTAATAAATTATGTTTTGAATTATTCAAACCTCGTGTTATTATCACTGATAAATGTTGTTGTCCATAGCACTACAAGCCACTGTACAAGTTAGTAACGGACTAAAACATGTTAGACGGAGCAGCGTGGCACGCTATACAATGTTGGTAGAGATCCGACTAACAAATTATTCATTTATTTATTCATAAATTATAAATTATTATAAATTATTCATGCATTTATTCATGTATACTTGGACTGTAAAAGGCCAACTATTTAGAACAACAAAATATTGTTGAAACTACTTTAAATGTGGATATTTAGACCTTCATCTACAATAGTATAATCCTGCGCGATTATTATTAAAATACTTTGTCTTGATTAAGTAGATAACAGATCTATGGGGACCACATAAAAATCTCCTAAATTGAGTAAGTAGTGTTCTGCCTTTTTAGGAGAGTGGTTAATCGCCTCTGTTTAATGACCAAGACTGACAAGCTTGTATTAAGAGATTGTATACCCGGCCGGTGCAAGACTCGAGATGCTATCGGAATCTGAGTAAATGAGAATAAGGTATAATAACAAATCAAAAGAATATTCAATCATAATCTAAAATAATGTGAAAGGAAACAAAATAATCTTATTGATTAATTATAATTGGAGTCAGATAAAACGAGGATAAATATATTAATATTCTAAACCACCTCATACTAAAATTGGAGTCAGATATGAGTTGTTTAATATAAATCAACATTGTGCACTGGAAAGACCGAACATGCAGTGAACCTTCATCCACCAGTGGATACCGTCATTGGACCAACTGGCTGGACCCTACAAGTGTAAAACATAACAATAACAACCTGCCTAAAATGTTCTGTTCAAACTTTTTTTTTAACTAAAATTAATTTGAGCAAAAGGCCTGATATATCAATATGATATATAATACATATATAAAAACATCTATATGGTATGAAAATGGATCTTGATAGAAGAATTAATAAACATTTCAGCTCCAAAAAAATCTGATTATGACTATTTGTTCATGTGTTAGTTTTAACAGGGTTAAGAATCATTATAATCAAGTATATAAAATTCATATAGGGAAATTTGTAATCCCAATATTGTTGTCTATTTTATCTGACATATATTGAAGTCTGTTCTTAATAATAATACTTAATTACTAATAATACTTAATTTATAATAATAACTTTTGACCTCAACTGTACTGTATGTATAATTTGACAGTTTATTTTGGAAAAAACAAGATCTAAACAGTTACATCTACATAAACATTTACACTTGGCTGTGTGACTGCATGTTATTGTGTTAAATGATTTTGAATCAAAATATGTGTGTCAATGTATGAAATTCATGGTATATTTTTTTATTTAATAAAATACAATATTATACTCGTATAAAATGCACAATAAACATTTTTTTAACAAAACATATTTATCTATTTTTATTATTTGAAAGTTTTAATTAGGATAATAAAAAAAACATTTTAGCACAATGGCGCCCCCCATGTGTGGTGCCCCTATGCGCCGCATATACTGCATTACCCCTTTTTGCGCCCCTGGGCGAGGATCAAATACATGGCAAAGCAAGACAAAGGTAGCGCGTTGTCTCAGCCACAACTGTGTGTTAGTGTGCTGCATTTAATGTGCAGTAATCAGTCCAAAAGCAGCTTCAGCTGTGAGTGTCTAATCAATGAGGACTTGTAGCAGGTAAGTGTGTGTGTTGTAGTTCATGTGGATGTGAATGTTTTCCAGCGATTAATGGTGGCTCTAAAAGTCTCTGTTCAGTTTATAGACATGAACACCTACTTAAAAACCCAAACCACATTGGCAGACTGCAGGACTATATACCAGCAATCGCATAGTTTTGATATGAATGTGTTTCATTACAAAGTGGCATCAGCACTACATAATGCAGTATTTTATTGTTTTCATGGCGCTATGTGAACAGGCATGATTTAGACAACATTAGCCCCTTTCACACATACAGACCTTTCCGGAAAATTACCGGCAATTTTCCGGAAAGGTTGTATGTGTGAACGGGCCTTTTTTGAAATAACCGGTAAATTCGTTCTGGCTATTTTCCGGAAAGAGAAGTTGTAACATTACCGGTAATTTGCCTGAATGCTGCGCTGTGTGAATGCAGAAGGAAGATTGCCGTAATAAGCGTGTCCACGTCTAGAACATGCTGACGTGAGACGTCTGCTTTAGCCAATCACAACAGTCAGACGCATTTACGTCCGCGCGGTTTGTGAGAATAAAAGCCTTTGAATATTTTTCCAGACGCATTTAGCTGCTAGAAGTTAGTCAGATCACGTTTATATGTTCTTCTTAATGCCAACTGTGTAAATAATCATCGATGAGATGCTTATGATAAACCGTTGTTTGTTTACCTTCAAGCTTTGCGTGTGCCTGTGAAACAGCCTGTGAGCGCCAGCACACACACATATTATGAACATCTCGACATGAGAAAGTGATCCTGCGAAAGTTGTTCACAATATTGATCATCCACAGAGTTTGTGATTTAGTCAAATGTTTACAAATACAAGCGCAGCCGTTTAAAGCTCATTTGTGGTGAATGATGTCAGAATTTACCGGTATTTTGGAATGGATGTGTGAATGCTCTTTTCCGGAAAAATTCCGTAACGTCCTTGACTGTGTGAACATATTTTTTTCAATATACCGGTAAAGTCGTTCCGGAAATTTTCCAGATATTTACCGGTATCACTGTGTGAAAGGGGCTATTGTCTGTTATTTTTATCTTACTTCTCAGGTTGATCTACTAGATGCAGTATGTTAGGGTAAATATAATTTATAAATAATAAAATAAACAGAAAACAAACAGGCAACAGAAACCGCTCACTCATGACTCCTGATAAACAGAAAACAAAACCAAACATAAAGGGCCCTATTATACACTCTGCACAATCTGGAACCATGTGTTTTTTTGCTACCTCCGCCCATGCTTTCTTCACCTCAGGGGGCTTTGGTGGAATCCAGCTCTGAATGAACCGCCAACTATTTTAGCATATGTTTTACGCAGTGGATTCCCTTCCAGCTGCAACCCAGGGGAAACACCCATACACACCTCCTTTTCCAGAATCCACAGTTGAAAGGAAAAGGCTGAACAGAATAGGCTTGTTCCGTGCATGGTCTTTAACCTTGCACATATTATCCGCTTGCACATACATTTACAGTAACTGTTTTTCGCTAGTGAAGCTTTCAGTTTTTCCACATACAAAGTCAGCCATGTAAATGTAAACGCAACTGACTCTTAAAGGAAATGGGACATGAGACTCTCATTCTCATTATTATGTCCAAAACACACCCATAACTCATTATAAGAATAAGAGCAACCCTTGTAGACCATGCACCTGGCTCACAGTTTATTTTTTTTCCATCCTTAAAATAGTAAAAGCTCACACTCCTCCATGAGACTCAAGACCAGTGGGGCCCACAGGTGACACTCGATAAGGGATATTCACCAAAAAAATGTTAAATTAATCACTATTGCTAACCCTTATGTGCTTCCAAACCTTTATGAGTTTTTCTTTTGAACACAAAAGAAGATATTCGATGATAAGGGAAGGGGAAACTAATCAGCTGTAACTTTGATAGGAATCTGTTCCTGTTATTTTTGGTCTCAAATCAAATCCCTAATCTCAAATTGAACACTAATGAGCTGTTTGTCTCTTTCCCCTGTGTGTGTGTTTTGATGTAAACAGCACAGAAGACCGCACTGATAGTTTATGCTCATCAGAGTCCTGCCTCCTTCAACGCCGCTGCGCGAGATGTTGCAGTTCAGGCTCTGACAAAGAAAGGCTACAAAGTCCTTGTTTCAGATCTCTATGCTATGAAATTCAAGGCTTCAGCTACTGCGGAGGATATTAAGGGTAAGAATTTGCTGACATGTAACAGGGAATTTCTGAGAAATAAAAAGGTCACTACTATAAGGTTCCATTTATGAGCAATACATTTACCCAGTATTTATTGTCATTGTTGATACTATATTATAAGTGTAAATATTAAAATATGCTTAAATAGTTTTTTTTTTATTAAACAAATTTAAGTTTCTTTAATTACTATGTATAATTCATTCATTCATTTTCTTTTTGGCTTAGTCCCTTTATTAATCTGGGGTTGCCACAGCGGAACAAACCGCCAACTTACCCAGCTTAATACAACAAATATTTTTAAAAGAATTCAAGTTCCACTGGAGGGCAATAATTTGGCTGCAATCCACTGTAAATACAATGTACTGAGCATAGGTATTTCATCAATTGGAAAATAACTACTTTTAATACTGTACTATTCCTAAACCTACCTCTGAACCTTTCCTTAACCCGTGTATTTACCTCATGTAATCCATTACTTTCTTAAGTAAGGTTAAGTGTTACTATTCTTTTAACTACTGAGTAATATTAAATAACTACTTTGTTAGGGTTATAATGGAGTCGAATGACAAAAGAGGTGAGAGTCCAAATGCAGTTTATTTAAACATGACTTCGGCAGGCAAAGGTCAAAACAGGTGTTAAGGATAGCATGGGGGCAATACAAAAGAGTAGTTGTGGTCACAGGTGAAGAGATTGATACAGGTGGAAAAACAACATAAACAGTAAACAAAACAATGGGTCAAAACACAGCAGGACAACACAGGGAACATGCTTTGTAACATTCACTATGGAAACAAGACTCAGTAAAAATGTGTGTGGAATTGGAGTGTTTTTAGTCTATAGATCAGTCTCAAAGATAATACAATTAAAAATATATAATTCGAACAAACCGATTCACATTTACAAAATCCAATTTGTAAGTTCAAAACACAATTCGTAAATACATAAATCCAATTTGTAAAAACAATAACTCAATCCATACCTGCACAAATCCAGTTTGTAAATACAAAACATAAATTATAAATACACAAATCCAATTCCTCAATTCAAAACCTTCATAAATACAGAAATCTAATTCATAAATTGAAAACATAATTTAAAAATACACAAATTTAATTCGTAAAAACAAAACATGATTAAAAAATACAATAATCTAACTCATAAATTCAAAACATTATTCTAAAACACACAAATCCAAGTCATAAATTCAACACATGATTCAAAACTGCACAAATCAAATTTGTAAATTTAAAACAGAATTAAAATAATAGACAAATCCAATTCGTAAATTTAAAACTCAATTCATAAATACTAAAATACAATTTGCAAATTCAACACACTTTTCAAAATTACACAAATCCAATTCATAAATTAACCACACTATTCAAAAATTCACATATACAATTCATAAATTCAAAACACGATTTATAAACGCACTAATCCAATTCGTAAATTTAGAACACCATACATAATATACACAAATCCAATTCATTTGGCGAAAATAATTATGATTGTTACATAAATACAAATTGGAAATGTGAATTGTGCTGTGCATGTATGAATTTTATTTCGTAAATGTATTATTTTTTAGGGCTGATCTGGCTCCTTAATAGTTCATGTAATTAGTTCTGAATAGCTGTGGTATGTGAGTAAAGTGAATGATGGGATATGTAGTTCAGTCAAGTGGCAAATGTGTTGTTCGGGTTAATGATAGAAAGTGTTTTCCAGTGATGTACAAGAACTATATCACTGGTGATGGTAACAGTTAGAATGTAGAATGTGTGTAGAATTATGCACATTTAATTGTAACTATAATAAGTACATGGAACACGTGTAACAAGGAAACTTTAAAATAAAGTGTTACCTCACTGTTTTACTGTAACCTTTGCAGGTGATTTGCAGAATCCCGAGCACTTTGTGTATAATAATGAGATGATGGTTGCATGGAAAGAGGGTCGATTAAGTGACGATGTTGCAGAAGAGCAGCACAAGGTGGAGCAGGCGGATCTAATTATCTTTCAGGTAATAGTTTTCTTGTGCTCCCTAGCAGTGGTGGAAAGCATACTGAAAAATCATACTTCAATAAAAGTTTTATTACTCTTCATAAAAATGTGGAGCAATTGGATTAAAAGTATTGTAAATACTACTCAAAGTATTAGTAAATATCAGCCCTTTAAAAAGTAGTGAACTTTGAAAAAAAGAAGTGAGTAGTGAGCTTTATGCTGTGAAAAGTTGATGTGTTAACATGCTGAGCGAAATCTGTGTAACCTAAAGGGCAAAAAACTTGCTGTAACGTTATGTCAATACTCTTTTAACCCTGACTAACAAACTACTGGTCTTCAGCTGTTGGTACTGCAAACAGAGAACATATTCAATTTGTGCATGTGATTTAAAACGTAACATTCTGTAGTGCATTTAGTTACTATTTAGGACAATTGTCAATTTCCGTTATAATACAGTAGGTATCCTTCATCTTCTAATCAGTGACATGCAGTCTAAACTCTCTCTCAGTCATTTCATGTAAATATTTAGCGTCTTCTTTGTCATTTTTTATGCTTCCAGTACATGTTTGCTGCATTTTAAAGCATTCTTGTTGATCTGTCTGATGTGATTTTAAAATGTGGGATTTGATTGGACAGGAATTACAGGACTTATTATTATAGCCAATCACCATTAACAAGAACAAAATGTAATGACTGCAGGTTTAAGTAAATTAGTGGAGTAAAAATACTTAAACAGAGCTAAAAGTAAACGTTTTTAAAACTACTTAGTGAAGTACAATTTTTGAAGAGAAATAACACCATTACAGTCATTTGAGTATTTGTAATTCATTACTTTGCACCACTGCTACATAAACATGACAAACTATACATTTCAGCTTGATCGCAGAAGAATAATATGCTTTGTAATGAGTTTGCAGTACCCACTCTACTGGTTTACCATCCCTGCCATCATGAAGGGCTGGATCGACCGAGTCTTAACTCAAGGATTTGCCTTCAGCATGCAGAACATGTATGACAACGGCATTTTCAAGGTCAGAATCTTTAGAGCCAAAACTCGTTTTTGTGTGCTTGACAGCTCTGATTCCTATCTGTGTGACTAATGATGATCAGATTCAGCTTACATGTCATCCACCTTTCAAACCAGAATAAGAGGGCCATGCTTTCCTTCACCACTGGAGGAATGGAGTCCATGTATAAGGATGATAGCCTTCATGGAGACATCAACATTCTCCTCTGGCCCTTACAGGTGAGATACCATATCAATGTGATGCATATGAGAAATCAATCAACCTTTGTACTCTTTTCAGAATCTAAGGGTGTGTTTAGACTTGGCAGGTTTGGTAGTGAAGCAAACTCTTAGGGTGTGTAATATAATCAGTTTAAAGGAACAGTTTTTGAAAATGGGTTAATTTTACAAGTCCCTTAGAGTTAAACAATTTGCAATTTTTTAACCCATCCAGCTGATCTCCAGGTTTGGCAGGAGCACTTTTAGCTTAGCTTAACTTGGCAAAAATCACTGAATCAGATTAGAACAGTAGCATCTTGCTCAAAAATTTCAAAACAGATTTTTAATAATTTGCATATTTAAAGTTTGACTCTTCTGTAGTTTCTTTGAGTACTAAGACAGACGTAAATGAAAAGTTGCTATTTTCTAGGCTGATATGGCTAGAAACCATAGTCTCATTCCGATGTAATAATCAGGGAACTTTGCTGCCGTATCATAGCTGCAGCAGATGCAATGATATTATACATCACCTGAAAATAGTCCCCAGCAAGGTAACTAGGCAACAGCACTGTGTAATGTCATTGTGCAAAGTTCCTTGCTTATTAAATCAGAATGAGAGTATAGTTTACAGCCATATTGTCCTAGAATAGGGCTTTATGATATTGGAAAAATAAAAAATAAAAATCAGCTATATATGTTACAAAATGAATACAGTTTCTCCAGTTTGAATAGCTCTATTTTTAAAGAGTTCACACATTTCAATTGATTAAGGATGATTCTGTAGGGAAGTGAATCATGCTTAAAATTAATAAACAAATTATAAGCACTGACAATTACAATAGAACGAAGAAAAAAATTAAATAAAGAATAATTTATAAAAATTAAACTCTCTTGAAATGCTTAGACAGCCAAAAGCCTTAGAACCAGTGTTGGGGAGTAACTATGTTAAGGCGTTATGTAATTTAATTACAAAATAAAAGTAAAAGTAATTTGTTACAGTTACTGAGAAAAAAAAATGTGTCACTAAATTACAGTTACTTATAAAAATGTTTAAGATTACAAATGGGGTTACATCTAAATATGTTAAATAATGTTAATCTCTTGCTTTGCCTGTTTTTGATATGCAAGATGCCTTCTGCTGGCCACCACGTCTACCAGTTAATCCTCTCTGCCGCTGAAAGCATTAGGCTACTACAATCAGTCTGCAGTGAGCTGCAAGTAGTGATGCTACAAGTAGTGAAGCTACAAGTAGTGAAGCTACAAGTAGTGATGCTACAAGTAGTGATGCTACTATTTCTCAGTAGCATGGCATTAGCGTCACTACTTTATAAATCAAAAAGCTTTTCAGTAGGTTAGCCTTTTTTTTTTTTGTCAAGTAGCACAGTAGCGTCAACACAAGCTACATTTACCAATCAATAAGTGACAGAGCTGTGAGGCCGGTGTCTAGCCAATGTAAGTAAATCCATATGATTGGGAGAATGGTGATTTCTTCTTCTTCCTGTTTAATGGTGGTCAACAACAAACATTTTACAGTGTTACTGCCGCCTCTCGCTTTGGTTGGAGACGTCGCCTACCAGTTAGGCAATTATGAGAAATTTCCATGATGGAAAGATGACTAAGGGAGAGGAGGTCTATAAATATAGTTTACTGTAGTAAAGGCTGAAGCATACTATGGTAATTACTATAAGTTCATGATAGTTACTAATGATACTACAATTTGTAGTTTAATTTATTAATGAAGAGTTGTAAATACTGTAACTATACAATATAAAGCTCATTCCTAAATATTTCCCTTTACTATAAATTACTATAGTATTTTGCTATTTTACTATTGGATTTTTTTGTTTTTGCTGTTATATACTGTAATTTGTTTCCGTTTAATACAGCATATTATTATTTACCGTAAATAAATTAACTGAACATCTGAGCCTCATATATTTCATTGACAGTTTTATTGATCACACATGTAATGGATTACAAATCAACCAGAAAATAATTCAAACAACCATGAGTTTGGTAATATGTACACACCTATCAGTGCTTTGTTGGTCACCTTTCACCGGTATCTCTTGATACTGGGAACCAAGTTCATAACCTGAACTTCAGTATTTCCCAGATTCATTGCAGCAGGTTTTTTATGTGGGTGCTGATTTTAAATCAAATATATGAGGACTGTTTATGTAATATTTAAATTTTAATTTTGCTATTCTCAGTTATGAACATATGCAGACAGATCTAGTCTGCACACACATATAAATTTAAAAAAATATTAAAACACAATCTAATAATCTAATTATAATTTCAAAAAAAATACAAGTTAATATTGACAGCTTAATGTGTTACATGTGCTGTACAAAATACTTTAAACTGAACTTAATTGTTGCATTATAGCCTACTGTATATCAGTCTCTTTTGCACTGAGATTATTAAAGATTTAAATAACAAAGCCTTTTTTATCTTTGTTTCCAGATTAATGATTGTATAAAACCTGACAGGCCATGATCACATTTTTAACTTATCATCAGAAAGTTGTAGTCTGTAGCACAATGCTGTTTTGTCAAGTAGTTGTAATGCCTTGTAGACAAATTAAATGCAAATACATCCTAATATTGTATACATTGTGCTCCTCTATGAGAATTTGCCTGGTATCCATCAGACATTTAGTACTGCCACCTGCTGGAGAGAAGAAGAAAAAAGCAATAGTTTATCCACAGATTTAAAGGGATAGTTCATCCAAAACTGTCATCATGTGCTCACCTGTCACATATCACAAAACTTTTTTTTTTTTTTCCTCTGTAGAACATAAAAAAATATTTTGAAAAATGCTGAAAAACCAGCATCCATTGACTTCCATAGTAAATATTTTTGCTAGGAAGCCAGTGGTTGTCAGCTTTCTTCAAAATATTATATTTTGTGTTCAACAGAAGAAATAATAAAGGTTTGTAAACACTTGAAGAAGTGGAATAATCAGTGAGTTATTTTTTTTTTTTTAGTTTTTGCGTAAACTGTCCCTTTTAAATATTTAGTCTACTTCATGTGTATCTTTGAACAATACAAATGTTTTACTTTAACTAATAACATTTACACCAGTTATTACACAGCTTAGACATGTGCCAATATCTAATAATTTAGTATATATTGTAATAATGAACATTCACAATATTAGACAGAATCGGTTTTAGGGGTTCCACACAATTCATTCATGTTGCCTCATCACAAATCAAGTAGATTGAACCTAAAACAGGGGCGACACGGTGCCTCTGTAATTAGCACTGCCCCCTCACAGCAAGAAGAACACTGGTTTGAATCCTGGCTGGGTCAGTTGGCATTTCTGTGTGGAGTTTGCATGTTCTACCCTTGCTGCCGTGGGTTTCCTCCGCGTGCTTCCGTTTCCGGTGTGTAAATGCAAGAGCCTATGGGTTTTCCCAGTGTTGGGTTGCAGCTGGATGGGTATCCACTATGTAAAAACATATGCTGGATAAGTTGGCAGTTCATTCCACTGTGGCGACCCCTAATTAAAAAAGGGACTAAGCCGAAGGAAAATGAAAGTATGAACCTAAAACAATTACATTGTGCCAAACAAAATCTCAAGAATTGTGATGTTTCAGCTCACTTTAAATAAGTAGTTAGAACAGTTTTTTTTTTGAGTGAAACAGTTCATAAAAGTAGGACTTGACCACTGTTAATCAGATTTCAGACTATGATTTTCACTTGTTATTAGGTGCTTTTTGTTATGCTGTTACTGTTAAAGTAATTTTTTGCAGTTTAATTTAATGATAATACTGTTTCTCGTGATAAAAGCTACAGCGAGTCATTGCAACAGGAAACTATATGCAGAAGTCTAATGCAGCTTGCAATCATACTATGTCCTTTTACTGCATACAGAATGGAGTGCTGCGTTTCTGCGGGTTCCAGGTCCTCGCCCCTCAGATCTTCTGGTCTCCTGCATACACGCCTCCAGAGGGAAGAGCTGCCATGCTGGATGGATGGCGAGAGAGGCTGGGTGGTGTGTTTGAAGAAAAGCCTCTGTCCTTTGCTCCGTCTGAATATTTTGACCTTAGCTTTCAAGCAGGATTTTGTCTCCGGCCTGAAGTTAAAGATAAGTTGGCTTCTGAACCCTACGGCATTACCACAGCACATCATTTAGGAAAACCTCTCCCACCAAACAACCAGACCAAACCTAAGCAAAACTAAAGGATCCAGCGTAGCTACCAATACATCACTCATTACTACGTATAGCAGATTTATAAAGCTTTAGGTGAAATGTGCTCCAGATCAAAAATATTCTATTCTGTCAATAATCTAAACTATACTGTCTACCTGTCATTTATGCTTTATAACTAAAATTATCTACCAGCAAATAAGCCATACGACTGTTGGGACAATCAGCTAAATGTAATTTTTCTGATGTCTCTTGTTATTTTCGTAGATAGTTTTACTAATATCGGTGTCTTGATGAAGTAACTTGTCAAATAAAGATTCTAATGCTGTTGTGATTTGAATGTTGTTTAATATATCATATATTATAATGATCATGGCGATGCTTGTGGTGCTTTTTTAGATTCTGGTTATGCAAATACAAATAAATAACTATAACTGAATTTACAGTTTCATTTTATTCTTTTTTTATTATTATTAATTTAATTAATTTAATTTTTGTTTTTTATTATCAATTTAATTTATTATTAGGATTTTTTTACAGTTTTAACAAAGTGATTGTAATTTAAGTAACATTTTAATGCAAATACAAAAATGAAATAACTATCTGAACCTATTATTTTGTTTTATAAGTCTTTATTTTAAAGACAAATGTCACATAATGTGAATTTCAAGGTTTTTTATCTCATCCGGGGCCGGGTTGCGGGGGCAGCAGTAATAGAAAAGAAATCCAGACCTCCCTCTCCCCAGACACTTCCTCCAGCTCCTCCGGTCCCGAGGTGTTCCCAAACCAGCTGAGACACATAGTCCCTTCAGCATGTCCTGGGTCTTCCCCGAGGCCTCCTCCCGTTGGGACATGCCTGGAACACCTCCCTAGCTAGGTGTCCAGGAGGCATCCGAAACAAATGCCCGAGCCACCTCAGCTGACTTCTCTCGATATGGAGAAGCAGCGGCTCTACTCTTGAGCTTCTCCCTCTAAGGGTGCCACTCTGCGAAGGAAACTTATTTTGGCTGCTTGTATCTGAGATCTTGTGCTTTCGGTTATGACCCAAAGCTCATGATCATAGGTGAGAGTTGGAACATAGATTGACCGGTAAATTGAGAGCTTCGCCTTTCAGCTCATCTTTTACTTTACCATAACAGACCGGTACATCGACTGTATTACTGCTGCTGCTTCACCAATCCCCCTGTCAATCTCACGCTTCATCTATCCCTCATGCGTGAACAAAACCCCAAGTTACTTGAACTCCTCCACCTGGGGTAAGGACTTTCCTGCAACCTGGAGATGGCAAACCACCTTTTTCCTGTGAAGCACCATGGCTTCGGACTTAGAGGTGCTGAATCTCATCCCAGCCGCATCACACTCTGCAGCAAACCGCCCGAGTGCATGCTGAAGGTCCATGTTCAATGAAGCTAACAGAACAACATCGTCTGCGAATAAAATGAAATCCTGCGGTGCCTGAACTGGACCCCCTCCAGCCCAAGGCTGCACTTTCAAATTCTGTCCAAAAAATTATTAAAGAATTGGTAACAATGGGCAACCGTGCAGGAGTCCAACTTGCACTGAAAACATGTCTTATTGCCGGCAATGGGAACCAGACTCCTACTCTGTTCATACAAGGACGAAACAGCCCTTAACAGAGCGCCTCTGACCTCATACTCCCAGAGCACCCTCCACAGAATGCCACAAGGGACACGGTCGAATGCCACAAAACACATGTGGACTGGTTGGGCATACTCCCATGAAACCTCACGCAGGGTATATAGCTGGTCCAGTGTACCACAATCTGTTTTATTAAGTATATTAAGTATATTTATTTTAAGTATATTTTATTAATTGTATAAATAAATATAATCCGTTTTAACAAAGTAACTGTAATTTAAGCAACATTTTAAATAACTGACTAAATAGGTAAAAACAACAATTTTCATATGTTTTTGTGATTACAGTTTATGCTATTAATAGGTAATATTTTTGCAAAAATGTTATGTTTTTGTGTTAACATCAGTTAATGCTTAGTAAATTAATTCTTAATTTTTGTTGCAATATTCATTAGTTATTTCAAGTAATCACCCTACATTTTACATAAAACATTTAACATTTTTGCTATTACAAATATTTGATATCATTTATAATGAATGAATGAATGTATATGAGTTGGGGGACATGGTGGCTGGGTAGCACTTTCGTCTCATAGCAAGAAGGTTGCTGGTTCAAGTCCCAGATGGGTCAGTTGGCATTACTGTGTGGAGTTTGCATGTTTCTGTCCCCAAAGACATGCACTATTGGTAAATTGGGGAAGCTAAATTGGCCATAATGCATGTGTGTGAATGTAAGTGTGCATGGATGTTTCCTAGTACAGGGTTGCAGCTAGAAGGGCATCCGCTGTGTAAAACATATGCTGTATAAGTTGGCGGTTCATTCCGCTGTGGGGACCCCTCATGAGGGACTTAGTCTAAGGTAAAGAAAATTAACAAATGTAGAAATTATTTGCATTTCATGTTGTCTAAAATGACTATAGCACTTTATTTTAAGGAAACTAAATCAGTTTCCATTTAGATTACAACATTTATTACAATATTTATTAATTATCATTTCAATTTATGAGCCTTTTACATTAAAACAATATCTTAGACAACAGTGCCATGACATTGACTGAGATGACTGCGCTTTAGCTCTATCTTTTTTATTGGGAATGTTTAGTGTACGTGTGAAAACCGCCTTCTAAAACGAAAACTGCTCTTGAAACTCGAGCTAAAACTGATTATTTATACCGGTCTCGTCTGCGTGCTTACGTACACCGAGAGCAGAGCGTCGCGACGTGAACAGGTCATTCAGATGCGCCAGCGCGTCATTTGCTGCAACGCAACCCAATCCCTGCCATCCAAAACTCCCAGTATTCCCGGCTTCCTGTCCCGTTATTCCTCCATATCAGCCGTCTGTACCACTGAACTGAAACTGAAGAGCGGATGTTGATGTTATGGACGGAATTCCAACATGAACTGAAGTACCTTCATCTGCCCTGCAAATAAACGCTGCGTGGTATGTGTCTGTTTGGATTTACTTAAGCCAAAATACTTTGATTTGCTATGAGTCGCCTGTGCTTTGTTAGTCCTGTTGATGTCATCTATTATGCACTGACATGTTTTAAACAATTGCCTTCGCTGTATTTATTGCAGCATTACACTGAAATACGAAAGTGTAATCCTGTTGGAATTTCATATTGTATTTTAATTGTTGTTTTAAAATTCCAAAGTGAACAAATAGAGACATTTGCAGTATTTCCTGTTTATCATTACAATTGGAAAAAAATGCCGTTGTATGACATCAAAATACATAAAAAGATTAACGTTAAAGATATATATATATATATATATATATATATATATATATATATATATATATATATATATATATATATATATATATTATGCTTAAAATCCCTGCATAATTACTTAAACTGTCCAATAGCAGGATGCTATCCCAATAAATCTGTTAAATGTTTTTATACAGTATGTTTGTAAAATAATGGTAACATTTTACAATAAAGTTGAAAGTAAACCTTATGCATTGACTATCATAAACAAACAATGATCAATCCGTTTATTACACTCTTTATTCATGTTTGCTAAAGCCCTCTATGGCAAGAATTTTTGTTTTAAGAGAAAAAAAATATTTCACCCTAATTTTTGGGTGCTTGGGACTCCCTTATAATATTTGAGCTAAAGTTGGTTTTATGTTCGCACATTCAGACCTTCTTCCTAATAATATTTAAGAAAAGTATTATTTGCAAACTCTAGTGAAATCATATTAGCAGCCAATGAATATCAAAGTACAACATTATTCACAGTCAATTAAATAGTGCTAATGTTGTTTTCAATATTGAGGTAAAGTTGGTTTTATATTCGCACATTCCTTCATTTAACGTACCCTATTTTATCTACTACTTTAATTTGCTTATAGGGTCTACAATCACATGTAAATATGACTTGAAAACAACTTTAGCACTATTTATTTGACTGTGAATAATGTACTTTGATATTCATTGGCTGCTAATATGATTTCACTATTTAGAGTTTGCAAATAATACTTTTCTGAAATGATATTATTAAAGAGAAAGTCTGAATGTGCGAATATAAAACCAACTTTACCTCAGTCTTATCATAAATCAATCATAAAATGTTTGATGGTTGTCTATATATTAATATAAGTGAAATGAGGTACAAACAAGCCATAAATACATTAGAAAAGTGTATATTTAACATAAACGATATTAACAAGCAATATTTCATCAATAACTACCCATAAACGATGTATTGTATGTCCTGGAAGGTACTAATTGAATGTACTTATTTACCAATGTCTGTTATTCACTGTGGAACCTCAGAAAGCAGTTGTTGGTGGATGTGAGGCAAGGGTACATACCATATTTTTGTCACTTGGCTTTAGGTCAGGGGCGCCCAAGCTTGGTCCTGTGGGCCGTTGTCCTGCAGAGAATAACTTTGCAGAACTGTGGCTTTTTGCAAGTTTAATTTGCATCTTTTGAATGAAACCTAGCTAATGTGACTCTTTTAGCTTGCTGTCAAGGAATGAGCCTAACTGCTCAATCTTCTTTTTTACCTCCATAAAATACATGCGCATCTATTTCATGTGAGTAATAGTATACCGTATAGCAAAAAAAAAAAAAAAAAAGATATTATGGTGATGACTAATTTCTGCACATTTCCATCCATAGGATGTTATTGTTTTAACAAAAGTGGTGTAACTGCACAATGTTGCCCTGAGGCAAAAAATGAAATACTATCATTTTAGTGTACAGATAATAACAAAAAGTGTCTTTTCTCAATTAAACATGCTTCTTCGTATATTCATGCACATCACACATATTTTTAACAGGAAGATATTTAAATTTAGACATGTAAAAAGTTAAATCTATCTTACATTCTGCTAGCAGTGTGCTGAAGCAGGCTATGGTCCCAAAACTGTCTCTTTAGCCCCGAGAGGACAGGTAAAATCCACACCCACCTCAAATTTCATTGGTCACTAACTTATTATAAGACTTTTTTTTTTTTGCAATATTTTATGTAAACATTTTTAAAGATGGTCTTTGTGGGCCGAAAAATTGGTTTGTTGTCTGAGGGCAACACCATGCCATAAAGGGTTATTGGAAATAAAATTACTCATTGTTAGTTTATGGAACATTCTATCAGAAAAGTACATTATCTGTCTTTGAAATAAAACACACAATGAATAAAAAGTATTTCATGCAAAAAATTTCTAAAAATGTACTGATGGTTGACTTCTGTGAGTTGTTTTGTGAAGGAATATGTCATTAATTTGGTTCTCAGGGTTTTTGTTTTCTTTATTAAAAACCCTTTACAAATGTACAAACCCTGTCATTGTTCTTGTCCAGTTGAACCCAAAGCTTTAATAATTTAGTTATGCTAAAAACTGTCATTTGGAAAGAAAAATACTCCAGAAAGAGCAAGTTTAAGCTGTTATCATTCCCTTCAGTTGATCAAAAACATGAAATTATAAATAAATTCTATAAATAAATATTATTTTACAATGTTAACTCTATAAGCTAATGTTAAAAAGCATGTATATGGGTTGTAATAAATGTATTAGTAAATGTTGAGCTATGGTTAATAAATGCTGTACAATACTTGTTTGTTATTTCATGTTAGTAAATATATTAGCTAATGAAGCCTTACTGTAATATGTGACCATATTATTGTATTTTACAATCAGCAGACATTTAAAAAGATTCTCAACTTTCTTTTTAAATATTCCAGCATTATCTGGATTACATGTTTTGAAGTTTTGTTTTTTTTTTTACAATTCTCTCAATACAATTTTTATTTATTTAGTTGATTGTTTCAATATGTTTGGCTATGCTGTGCGACAGATTAATTTATAAAGTAATATGAGGTGAATTGCTGCATGCACACTCTTTTAGGAGATGAAAGAGCCAAATGGATGTATAAATAAGAATAAACTCTTTTATCAGTTTTAAAGGTTAACAGAATTTATGGGTTTATTGCTTTTATATTTTATATTGCTTATAATTTATCCATGGCAAACAGTAAATCCAGCCCATTCATAAATAGCTTTTTTACACTGTACTTTCTTAAACCCTGCGTATTATCCACATCTGCAGTGTCAGTGTCATTGAAAGGAGGAATTCTGCTTGCAATTTCTTTATAAATGTTGTAGAACTGTACATCTTCACATATTACTTAAGCTTACCTGAATTGACCCTCTTTACAATATCTTCTTCACTCTAATTATTGTATTTTCTATCTTAATTTGACATTTCTGTCCAAACATACTGCTTATGCAAAATTGTTTTATTTTCATTACTGCTAAAAACGTGGATTCGCACATGCATATAATCTGTTGCTATTCATTTTGCCATAAAACCATATAGTTTCAAACTCAAAGGGATAGTTCACGCAAAAAAAAAAAGAAAATTCTGCCTTCAATTGTTCCAAACCTATTTAAGTTTCTTCTGTTGAACATAAAAGCAGATACTATTAAAGTCGATTGGCCCATCCTTCAAAATATCTTCTTTTGTGTTCAACAGAAGAAAGAAACTAATCAAAGAGGTAAAGCCACATCTCTTTATATCTTTAGGCACAGCAGTGCAGGGTCAACTTTGCAAAAGCAGTGGTAACTCCGATTTGAAGTAGGGTTTAATAGCTCCCAGTTCAACAAAGGTTGAACAAACTCAAAGTTTCAGAATAGAATTAGAGTTGACAAAACCAAATAAGGTGGCGCAGTAGGTAGTGCAGTTGCCTTACAGCAAGAAGGTCGCTGGTTCAAGCCTCGGCTGGATCAGTTGGCATTTCTGTGTGGAGTTTGCATGTTGTTCGTGTGGGTTTCCTCCAGGTGCTCCGGTTTCCAAAGTCCAAAGACATATGAATTGGGTAACCTAAAATTGTATGTGTGTGAATGAGAATGTATGAGCGTTCCCGGTGATGGGTTGCAGCTGGAAGGGCATCCGCTGTGTAAAAAAAAACATGTGCTGGATAAGTTGGTGGTTCATTCCGCTGTGGCAATCCCAGATTAATAAAGGGACTTAGCCAAAAAGAAAATTAATAAATGAATGAAAACCAAATAAATCCTACCTGTTTAAAGTAAAATTTAATAAACTGGTGCTGTGTCCCAATTCAGTGAATTCACATACTTATACTATGCCCTGACAGTGTGTACTTTTTTGTGAAGGAAAATTATATACTTTTGAATGTGTAACAGAAGATTACGCAAACTTTGGGACAAACTACTTCCTCCTTAATAGATTTTTATGTTGCTTAGTTACATCCCCTGTTGATCATCAACATATGATCCACATTTCTTTCATATTTGATTACCCACCTTACTGGAGAAGCAGAAGCAGGTTAATTTGCCATTCTTTCATGCAGAGAAATCGTCTCAGGTCTTTGGGTAATTATGCATTCAGAAGGTAATATCCAAATAAATATTTAAATAAGTTCACATTGTTGTTGCAGATTCCAGTGGGCTAGATATTAATTAGTCATTTAAACAACTTTACGGAAGCCTCTCTACTTGACGGTTGGTCTCACGCATCCGCCATATTTGTAGTTTGTTTATACCTTTTCAGTGGCGCCCCCAGAAAATTTTCTTAGGGGTGGCCAGAAGAGGCCGCACCAAATCTTGGGGTGGCACACAAAAAAAAAAAAAATGAATTCAGTGTAATGTTATATTTTTGTTTTTGGTAAATGTAATAATGTAGTTTTTATTCATTTAATTAATTCTTCTTGAAATATTGCTATTTATTCCTTGAAGTAATTCAGGAGGTACATGTGCAAACCAAATAAAAATCTATGTTTAGTTTAAAAACACTTTTCATATATATATATATATATATACTGTATAAATAACTTTTTACGTGCTTTTATTGTACATCATACGGTATATGCCATGTCTAAAATTAATGAAGATTAATGAGTTTATTATTCCCAGAGATGGCTTGCTGCTGGAAGGGCATCCACTGTGTAAAAATGTGCTAGATAAGTTGG